CCACTTTCCTCAAACTCCTGCCCTTTAGAGTGCATTCTACCCCAAATTCTTACCCTCTATAGCATAGTTTACCTCCTTTCCTCCTTCTTTTCCTCCTTCCCTGCCTATAAGCTTCTGCTCCTCAGATTTTTCCTTTTCAGCATCTAGAAGCTCCCAGTCCCTATAAAATGAGTGCATGTACATAAAAGCTCTAAAGACAAGAGACACTTGCTCCCTCTAACCAGACATGGAAACAATTGAGAGGATTTCTCTATGACATTTAGCAGTCTCACTAGATAATCTCTTAGGCTAATAATCTCAGGTCATATTGAGAGAAGGTGTGACTAAAACTGGCTGAAATGAGGCATGACAAGGTTCTGAAACACATGTACAGAACCATTCCCAAAGTCATGCATGTAAACATTTCACAAGGACTCAAGCAGGTTTTCTTATTTATTTATATTAATTTTATTGAGAAACAAGTAACAATGAAACAGTTTCAAAAACAATTATTAGGACAGTTTCAACAATACATTGCATATTGTTGATCAGGTGGGTAGCAAAGCATTCTTGAGCCCTTCAGTCGGACTGGAAATCATATCCGTCCTTGAAGTCACTTGCCCGGGCCACACAGCTCCTGACCAATAAGGGTTGGCCTGGAACACAGGTGTTTCTGGTGGCCAGGTGCTTGGTCCCCAGGCGGGGAACCCCAGGCCCCTGCCTGGAGCTCGGGTTCCACCTGAGAGTCCCCTGGCTCACCCTGCTCCTCCTCTGGTTAAATATTAATCCACAGCCCCAACAGGAGATGAATATTTTATCTCATCTATTTATTACTTGTTTATCTTTGGCCTCTGTTCATCCTGAGTTGTTCCTCCTGAGTTCGCTCTGTGCCTAAGCCTTGTTGTGCGCACGGCTCGCCCAGACCAGCAACTGTGGCCTGAACTCGCAGAAGGTGGAGCTGCCATTCACAGGCACACACACACACGCACGCAAGCACGCACGCACGCACGCACACACGCACAGCATCTTACCGCACAAGGCACGTCTGTAATCCCAGCACTCTGGAACGCTGAGGGAGGGGGATCACAAGTTCAGGCCCAGAGCTTGGGGAATTTAGCAAGATCCTGTCTCAAAATAAAATTAAAAGAAAGGGCTGAGGCTGGAGCTCTGTGAGAAGGCACTGGGTTCTGTCCAGAGTATTCAAAACAAGGGCTGGCCAGATAATTCCACGGACCAAAGAGTGTGCTTAGTCAGGCGCAGGGACTGGGGTTCGATTCCCCGGTGTGCGATGCCAGCCCCACTCCCAGGGCATGCTGAGACTGGGCATGGTGGCGCACACCTGTAATCCCAGCACTTGGGAGGCTGAAAACGAGGATCACTGTGAGTCCGATCTGTGTAGTGAGACCCTGTAGACCCTGTACTAAATACAGAAAAACAAAACAAAACACAGTTTGGCTTCTATTCATAGATGTAAGCAGTGTCACTTGGAAATCAGGGTGGAGCTATCAGCTTTCAGCAAGGGCTGCCTGTGGCCCAGTACAGAGCAAGTGATCAAGAAATCGGGCCACAAGGGGCCGGGGAGATGGCTCAGTAGAATAAGCACTTCCCTGGCAAGCGGAAGGGCCTGAGTTCAATCCTCGGTTCTGCAAAAAAAAAAAAAAGAAAAAAGAAAGAAAGAAAAAAGAAATCGCCATGTTACCATGATCACTGTGGTTTGCCTGCCTCTCCAGAGCCTCTTCACCTTGAAGATGAACAGCTTTACTCTCCAAAGACTAAGTAAATGAGGCCAGCGATCTGTCAAGGGATGGCTGTACCCACAACCAATAAGGGAGAGCATCCCATTGGCGAGACAAACATGCCAGTATTCTATTGGTCATACAAATGACTTGGGTGGCCAATCAAATACTAAGGAAATGACTACTGCTGCCAGTGCTAGGTCATAAAAAGTACTGTGGCTTCAGTTTTTTTTTTTTTTTCTCTCTGTATTTTTCACTCTGGGCCCAGCCAGCTGCCATCGTGGGAAGAAACTCAAGCAGAAGTCTATGTGGCAAGGGACACAGCCCCTGAGCATGACCTCTGGGGAGCGCGTCTGCCACCCCCAGTCCAGTCTTCAGATGAATGTAACCACAGTGACATCTTGACTGCAACCTCGAGAGACTCCACGGGCTAGGCCTTGCCAGGGGACCAAATCAGCAGGTCTTTTCGTATTTAGTGTGGGGGGCGGTCCACAGGGTCTCGCTACACAGATCGGACTTGTAGTGATTCTCCTGTTTTCATCTTCCCAAGCGCTGGGATTACAGGGTTGTGCCACCAGGCCCAGTCTCAATCACCGTCTCAGCGCGCCCTGGGGGTGGGGCTGGCATGGCAGGCCAGGATCAAACTTCTGACCCCTGTATCTGCCTAGGCAGGTGTTTTAATCTGCTGAGCTATCTGGCCAGCCCTGTTTTTTGTTTTGTTTTGGTTTGGTTTTTTTGAGGCAGGTTCTAAGGATGTAGTTTAGGCTGGCCTCCAACTCACAGTGATCCTCCTGCCTCAGCCTCTCGAGTGCCAGGATTATAGGCGTGTGCTATGAAGCCCAGAGTTAGGCTCTTAGCCTAGCGTTTCTCAGAAGGATTTGATTGTGGAACTCTGATGTCATAGCCGCATGGAACTGTGGGACACACAGCCAAAGTGACACTGTAGCTCATTCCTACCTAGAGTGAAAACTACTGTGCCCCATGGAAACCCCCAGATGCAGCCTAGTGTGCAGCATGGGACAGTTGGCTTTAGACAGACAGATGGCTGGGTGCCCAGGATGGGATCCTCTCGACTCCTTTCCAGTTGATGGCTGGCTCGTCCTCATCTACCTCCATCTCACAATCAGGGATCCCAGTGGACCCAAGATGGCCCAGAATCAGGGTGTTCCCATAGGTGCTCAGCCATGTGGGGGCCACTGCCTGAGTTGTGCTCTCCACAGTGCCAGTGCTCAGTAGTGTCATGCAGGATTCGCTGGCTCACAGGCCCCAGGCAACCCCGAGGTCCCCAAGGCCCCTGAGCACCAGGGCCGCAGGGCCTCCATTTCTTGGAGGGAAAGCAACTTGAGTCTTAAGATGGGACCATGAGAAAACAGCACCAGACACAGGGAACTTTTTAAGATCAAATCCATTCATTTCGGGAAAGAAAGGCAGTATGGAGAAAGCACACTCTTCAGGCCCCAGGGGCTGCGTGGGCATGGGGACAGGAATCTCTGCATGCTAGATGGCAGGGGCCCTTTTCTGTGTTAAGGACCTAATTTTCCCCTCACCTCGCTTGCCTTTCCCAGTGTGGCTGTGCTGGGGCCAGACTCTCTATGACCAGAGCCCCGTATGAGGCCCTGGGGAGAGGTCATGCAGGCAGGAGAGGAAGCCGCGACCTGAATGGAGGTGACGGTAACAATAAAATCACCCAGCTCCTCCAGAGCACTTGGCCTCTGCAGAGGTGATGGCAGCAGGGAGAGGGTTCAGAGAGCGGAAGTCAGCTACCCACGGACACACAGCTGTAAGGACAGAATCAGGGTGTCCCCACAGGTGCTCGACACTCCCTGAACACCTGCCATGTGAGGACATCTGGGTGGGAAGCAGAAGTGGCCAGGAGGATTGTCAAAGAGCTGCACCCCCAGCCGCCTGGGTCAGCGCAGTGGTTCCCAATATGGGGTTCCTGGGGACACCCTCAAGACCCCTTGATGGGTGAACGGAGGCCTACAGGCAATAAAATCAAGAGAGTTCTCCGCTGGGTCTGGGCGGAATGAAGAGTTAGACAGGAATTTGACTTCCTGCAGGAGGGGCACTGAATCCTCCAGGCAGTGGCATCTGCCAGCTCATCTGCTCTCTTCATTTTGTTTGCAGAGCTGGGGATGGAGCCCAGAACCGCCTCCTGCAGGCATGCGCTCTGCCACCAGGCCACAGCCCGTCCCTGGCATTCCGTGTGGACACAGGATCTTGCTGAACCACCCAGGCTGGCCTCAGACTTCTGATCCTCCTGCTCCAGCCTCCCGAGTAGCTGGGATTAGAGGCAAATGCCACAGGGCCTGGTGTGTCTCTCCTTTAAAATGAGGACGTAGTTCAGTGTTAGAGTGCTTACCTAACACCAGAGGTCCTGGGTTCCATCCCCAGCGATGCAGAGGAGAGGAGAAGAAGGGGAGGGGGAGGAAGAGGAAGGGGGAGGGGGATTCCAGGGCCCCCCACCCCCACTCACTCTGCTGGCCACAGAGGCAGCCAGAGGCCAGGAACACCAGGCTGGAGGTTCTGGCTGCCCTGAGAGGCCAGGACAGGAAGAGCCCGCATGCACCCCTGGTCCTCTCTGCTCACCCCCTCACAGGCTGTCTGTCCTTGGGGTGATGCAGGCGCCTGTTCAGTTTTGTGGAGAAGCCAGACCACCAGCTGGAAACACTGGAATTTCTTGTAGGAACCGGCAGGAGTGGCAGGGCAGTGAGGCAGGGGTGTGGCTCTGGGGCTGGCAGCCGTATACTCTGCTCCCCTTCTGGTCTGCCCACGTCTGGGTGCTCGAGACCTCTGCTCTCTCCAAGCCAGCTGGCCACAGCCCACCCTCGCACAAGCACAGGACATGAGGGGGAGGTGCTGAGGTCTGATGTGACCCTGCCCATGGGCTGACATCATGACTGACCCTAGAGCCCACGACACTGAACATGTGCCTTCTCCATCCTGGACTCAAAGTCACCTCTGAACACATGATCGGGCCACAGTGGCTTCTCACAAGTAACTCTCAAGTGTCTGAGCATGATGTGACCTGGCCCAGACGCTCCCTCCCCTTAGAGGTGGTGCAGGAACCCACCCCCACTGGGCATCCCGTGCAGCTTCAGGGGGACTGCTGGGAGGCACACAAGACAGGCCGCCCAGGCTGCAGCTGAGGACCTATGTTCTACAGGGCCCTTCCGCCATCCCTCAGGGCTGCACCACCATGCCCCAGGCTGCCCATCACCGACAGGCGCCTCTCCTAGGGGAGGTGAGCGTCTCCAGGGCAGGAGCCATGCCTGGTTCCTAGCTGTGTCCGAAAGCTTGCCCTGTGCCTCGCAGGCAGACCAGGATCTGAGAGCATCGCTGGGCCAAGCTCGGGGCCCCAGTCTGCTCTCCTCCTCACTGCAGACCCCAGCAGCTGTGTCAGTGCTCTGGGGCTGGTCAGGCTGCCCTGGGACCCAGAAGGCCACCTGGGAAGGTGCAGAGCTGCTATCACACACACCTGGCTGCAGCAGGTGCGTCACTGTCTGGACTGGACTGAGTGCCACGCCAAGCATGTGGCAGGCACTGCGGTGCTATTTGGTGTTTGGACAGACTTTTAAATTAATCATTATTATCATCATTATCATCATTATTATTGAATACTGGAGATTAAATCCAGGGCCTTCACACTGAGCTGCAAGCCCAGGCTTTTTTTTTTTTTTTTTTTTTTTAAGAATTTTTATTTGGAAATAGGTTCTTTTTTTTTTTTTTTTGCGGAACCAGGGATTGAACTCAGACCCTTGCACTTGCTAGGGAAGCACTTATTCCGCTGAGCCATCTCCCCGGCCCCTTGGAGGTTCTTGCTAAAGTTGCCAAAGCTGTGCTTGAACTTGCAGTCCTGCCTCAGCCTGTCAGGATGCTGGAATTGCAGGCTGCACCACCCGGCCCAGCTCAGGCAGTTAAAAAATCAACATTAAATTAGGTGTGTTGGTGCGCGCCTGCAGTCCGAGCGGTCAAGAGGCCCACATAGGAGGGTCACAAAGTCGAGGGCAGCCTGCGGAACTTAGCAAGATCCTGTTTCAAAAAATAAAAAACAAAAAACCCAGTCCAGAGCAGCTCTGTGATCCCAGCACGCTGGGAGGCTGAAGCAGGAGGACCGAAAGTTGAAGCCCAGGGGCTGCGGCAATAGCACAGCAGTCTAAGCACCTGCCTGGAAAGCGCAAGGACCCAGGTTCGATCCCTGGTGCTGCATGCCTTGCTGCCCCAGAACCCCAGGTGTGCCGTGCTAGCCACCAAAACTGTGCATGGTGGGTCACTCCTGTAATCCCAGCACTGAGGAGGCTGAGACAGGAAGATCGCTGAGTCTGAGCTGTGTACGAGACCCTGTACTAAATAAATATATAAATAAATTTTAAAATGAAGAAAAAAAGAAAGTTGAAGCCCAGCCCAAGACCCTATCTCAAAAATAAGCAAATAAATAAATAAATAAGCATGGGGATGTAACTCAGGAAAGAGCATGGATCTGATTCCTAACACCTCAGACCACACAAGCAAACAAACAAATCAACATTAAACATAAGGATAAGCATGGAGTATTATTAGTGGAAAATGAGATTAGCTCTCTTTAAAAGAAAGACCCTTTCATGGGGCGTGGTGGCACATGCCTGTAATCCCAGCACTGGGGGGCTGGCGGGGTGGCGGGGGGGGGCTGAGGCAGGAGGATCATTGAGAGTTCAAGACTATTCTGGGGCACAGAGTGAGCTCAAGGCCAGTCTGAACTGCACAGGGAGATCCTGTCTCAAAAAGACAAAATGAAATAACTAAGGCCCAGAGGCCCTGCCCTCATTCCAGGCCAGGCCCAGCCATGGAGCTGGTCCTTCCCCACACACAGGGGATCTCAAAACCAAAAGGTGCTCGCTAGGTCCCGATGAGCCGCAGAATCCACGGACCAGAAATGAACGGACACTGCTGAGGACTCAGGACACCAAGCCATCCCTAAGCCCCTGGTGTGGGATGCACCAGGCCCTGGGCAGCAGCGGCAGCCATGTGCTCAAGAGCGATGTCAACGCAACCCACAGACCTCATCGAGGACGGTGCTCCAGGCAGAGCCTACCAGCTAGTGACTGCATGGCTGAGTCTGCACGAGGATGCTCTGCGAAGTCCATACGGTGATGTCACCCGGCGACCCGGTGATGTCACACAGCTCAGAGCATCTCTCTATGGGGGCGACACTCTCCAGCTCTGCCAAACCCACAGCAGCTTGTGCCCAAGACCTGGTGCAGGAGCCACGCTCAGAGACGCCCGCTGAGGTTCCGACAGTCATGGCCACGTGGTAAAGCTGCCTTTTGATCACCAGGTCTCTGGCTTCGTGAGGACATCTGCTACCACTCACCTGTGCCCCACAAGAGGGATCCCACCCGGGACAGCAGCAGGTGTTGGGGGCATCCAGGAGCGACCAGTACAGGCGAACACACAGCAAGGCTGCACACACCACAATCAGTGGTCACAGTAAGAGCCATGGGGACAAAAAAGATGGAAAATCTGAATCAGGTCACACAATAAAAGCAAAATCGGATGGGTCCAGAAGGGAAGCGTGAACTTCTGCATAACTGAGCTACCCCTAGTCGGTTTCCAGCAAGGTCCCAGGCAAGCAAGGGGGTAGCCGCCAAGCTGTGGCCCGCTTCACTATTTGTGTAGAAGGCTTTGGGGGAGCAAGACTCACTCCGGGGCTTTGGGAGATGGGAACCAAAACTTGGGTGAGAGCTAGGCGTGATGACACCTATAATCCCAGTACCCTGAGGCTGGCCACAGGAAGATCGCTTTGCGCTCAAGGCCAGCCTGGGTTTCAGAGTGAGTTCAAAACCAGCCTGACCTGCATAGTGAGACCCTATTTTAGAATACAAAACAAAACAAAAAATTGCACAAGGGGCTGGTGAGATGGCTCAGTGGTCTAAAGCACCTACTTAGAACAAACTAAGCTAAACAAAGCACAGGGACCGCGGTTCAATCCCCCAGCACCACATGCCAGCCAGCCCCGCCCCCTGGTGAGCTGAGCTGGCCACACACACAAAAATAAATAAATAAATAAATATTTAAAAAAAAAATTGCACAAGGCAAACCTGCCTGACCCCAGTCTCTTCCTCTGAAGTGCTCAGGGTTGGTGTGTGCCGCTGGGACAGTGCAAGGCAAAGACTAGAGGAGGACCTCGCCTGGCTCACTGCCTCCCAAGAGAGGACAATGATGTCCTCATTGACCAGCTCCAAGGACACACAACCTGTGAAGGGGGCTCTCTGGGGCTGGTAGGGGCGCAGGGTGGCACCCACGCCATGGCCAAGGCCAGGGTGAGTGCTCAGCTGGTGGGAGTTGCTTCTGTCACCACCACTGCCATTGTTAGTGGACACCCTGAAGCCACCAGAGGCCATGTCGGCTCCAAAGGAAACGTGCTCAACTCCCAGAAATCATGGAGCAGCCTCAGTATAAATAACGCCTGAAACCTCAAAAAGGCACCTAGCAGGGTACTTGGCCACCAAGCACAACACCCCCAAGCCAGCTCCCTCCCTCTTCCCACCCTTACAGAGCTGGGCTGGATGCTGGCCCTGCCCTGGTAGGCCAAGGGTGGGCTTCTGCAACCCCCTGGCCTGCCTGGGCCCCAGCGCTGGACAGCAGCCCTCCGACCCCATCCTGCTCAAAGCCAGTCAGACCCTGCAGCTCCTTAGGAGGGGACACTAGGGGCAGCCACTCACTGCTGTCCTGCCACTGCCTCTCCTCCATGTGCGAGACACAAGGCAATGTCCTCTGGGTGTCACTGCTCAAAGCATGTGCTGGAAAGAGAGAGCTCCCCCAAATGAGGCTGTGAACCAGACCCATGCGGACCCTGACCTTGTGGAGCTCACAGTCTTGAGTACAAGGCAGACAATCAAGGCCGGAGCACACAGGTCGGAAACCCAGAGGAACAGAGTGTGGTGGCTCACACCTGTCATCCCAGTACTTAGGAAGCTGAGGCAGGAGGATAGCTTGAGTTCGAGGCCAGCCTGGGGTACACAGTGAGCTTAAGGCCAGCCTGGACTGTGGAGTGAAACCTTGTCTCAAAAACAAAACAAAACGCAGAAGCGTGGAAGAGGCCCTGCTGGGCTCCCAGGAGAAGGAGCTTTGGCAGGAAGGGTTAGCAAGAAGGAAAGGAAGGCATTCCAGGCGGAGGCCACAGCCAGGGCAAGGCCTTGGAGGGCAGAAAGAAGGAGATGCAGAAGCAGCCGCAAGCCCCCTGCAGCTCCCTGCCACCTCGGAGTCCCAGGCCACCTGAGGGAGGGCAGGAGCTCCTCCTCCCAGTGCGCATGTGCCAGGATCAGCTAGGGACAGCACAGCAACTCCTGGCTGCTGCAGAGCTCGGCTGGCCTGGGCCTGGCTAGGGCGGGGGAATCAAGGTGCAACACTGGGTCGGAAGCAGCCCAGCACCTTGGGGTGTTAGCTGGGCCCTGCACTCCCATTTTGCAGAAAAAGAAACTGAGGTTTCACGAACGCCCACCATCCCTCCAGTCCTGCACTTCTGATTCTCTCTGGGGACTTAGGACAGGCCTGAGGCCTCCTCCCCAGGAGAGGGTGCAGGAAACAGCCAGGAAAGGGGTGACTCCGGGTGAAGGAAGGAGGGGCCCCGGCCAGCCGAGTTGCTAAGACACCAGGCGGAGAAAGACGGAGGAATGTGGGTGGGGACAGGGAGGACCTCAGGGACCAGGCTGTCTGAGAGGCCCAGGGGCCCGGGGGTCCCCCCTCCCCCAGGTGGCCCTCAACTTCCCGGAAGACAACACCTGCAGCTGGGCGGGTGCTGGGCCGCCGCCCCCTCGGGCCGCCCAATCAGAGGCGCTCCCGGTCTGATGGCGGAGGCTGCCGGGCCAGGGCTCCAGGGTCTTCCCGGGGGAGCCCCCGGGCCTGACCCAGCCTCAGCACCCCTGTCTCCCCCCCGTCCACACCCCCAGCCTCATTAACACCGACGCCCATGGTCCTCCCCTCGTTTTCCGGTGGCTCCAGAATTTAAAGGTTAAATCCTAACCTCGTCTCAGCGGTTCTCCCGGCTTTGCTACCCAGCGCCAGTGGCTGGTAATTATATGCATCTCCGAGCAGCCAATCAGCTGTCAGACTGACAGATACTGATCTTTTCGTTTTATTTTTAGCTCTGTGCTTCCCCCTCTAGTTGCAAAAAAAAATTCTGTTTGTTCTGCGTGCTGCTGCCGGCTCTCATCTCCACCAGCCAGGCGGGAGCGGGCAGCCAGAGGGGCTGTAGCCCAGAAAGGGGGGACATAACGAGCTCCCCAGTCCTCCCCAAGCGGTGCCCTGCGCTGCCCGGTGCAGCCCCCCTGGGAAAGGGGGGAGGTTGGAAGCTGCGGGCTGCAGGCAGAGGGGCGCCCTTGAGACAGCAGCTGCCCTTGGCCTTGGGGACAGCAAGCCCTACCCGCGCTGGAGGCTGGGAGAGACACAGAGATCTCTCGAGAGAAGAGGAGCCAGGCTGAGGATGGGGGGCACGTGCCCGCTTGTTCTGGGACTCTCACCCCGGAGTGGACAGAAAGGGGTGCAGCAGCCACCACAGGGGGGCTCACAGAGGGTCCAGCCCAGGGCTACAGGCCAGGCACTTGGCTGCTGCACCACCCCAGTGCACACACGCCCACCCCAGGCACTGCTCCTCTGCCCTTGGGAGTCTGATGGGGTCATTCTGGAGGGTCCTGTGGCTTCCTTCAGCCTGGCAGGTGGAGGCCCAGCTCAGACAGCTCAGAAGGGAGCGAAGCCGCCGAGAGAAGTGATACAAAGCCAGCGTTGCCTCCCATCCTGGCCTTGGACAAAGCAAAGTTCCCCTGATCCCCACAGCCTGGCTCCCTTCCTCACAGCCCCAGAATGAAGGGAAGTAAGGTTCCTCAAGGCCCTGGGAGACCAAAAATCACATCCTTTCTGCTCTGCCCTGGGGCTGGGGGCGGAGTGTGGCTTAAGGGTTGAGGCTTTGAGGCACACTGGGTCTAGGTTCAAGCCCCCGGGCTGCTACTGACTGCTGTGGGACCCCAGTGACTGGCTTGAGCTATAGGGTCCCAATCTCAGTTCCACTCCCTGACTTCCAGGGCGGCTCCGGGGAGTGGTGCTGTGGCCTGGGAGCAGGTGAGATCAGCGCCTCCGCTTGGCAGAAGGATGGGGAAACTGAGGTCCCTGTGACTCCTAATTGGCAGAACTGGGACTAGACCTTCCCTCCCTCTTTGGCTTCCTTCTCTCTCACACCACAGATGGCTCACGGAGAAAAAAGTGAAGGGAGTACGCAGAGAAGGGAATTCGGAGACCCAGCGAGATGGAGGGAGGCAGAAGCACTGTGATCAATTACTTGGGCTATAAATTTCTGCAGTTTTGCAAAGTGAGCACACAACCTCGGAGATGTGGAGCTCGCTGGGGAGGCTGAGCAGAAGCCCGGCCAAGCATTTGCTGAGAACAGAGTGGAGGGAGATGACTCCGGGCTGAGGCTGCAAAGGGGTGGGGTTTGCCTTCCTGTGCCCCCACCCACCCTGTCCCAGCTGGGCAGAACAGCCAGGCAGCCAAAGCCCCAGCTGCTCCAATGCCCCTGCCTGACTGAATCCAGGCACAGCTGCCCGGTGGCTCTGTGACCTCAGCGGGCCCATCTGTAGAATGGGGCAGTGACAACATCTCTGCAGGGGCAGGGAAATCTGGGACGCGAGCGGCTTAGTGGGAGACCCTGCACGAACCCAGCGTTGCTGTTATATCCGGAAGATGACCAAGGGCTGGCTGGTCTGGTAGCTGGTATCTGAGAGACAGATTTAGTTATTTAAAGGGTGTGTGTGTGTGTGTGTGTGTGTGTGTGTGTGTGTGTGTGTAAGCAATTTCCCAGGGGAATGTGATGATCATTAACCTGAATGAGTCTCCAACAAAAGGGGAAGACCCAGGATGCATTTCTAGCTGGCGAACGAGGTCAACGCTGGGCAGCCTGGGTCCAACCCTGGCCTCCCTGGCCTGAAGCCTGGCTACAGATCACACTGAAAACGAGCTTTAGGCAGAGGCCACCCTGCAGCTGGAATCCGGGTGCCCAGACCAGTGATGCTCTGGGAAGAACCTGGAAGCGCCTCCTCTCAGACTGCAAGAGCCCAGCACCTGTGTGCAGTCAGCAGGGGAACCAGGCTAGGCTTTGCCCTCAGGGAGCTGTGTGTCAGTTCGGAAAAAATGCAGCCGAGGTGACCCTGAGCCCCTGTCATTTGACCCAGGACAACTGGCCAAATTCATGCATGATCTCAACTCTGCACAAGCTCGAGGCACCGAGGAAAGTGGGGTGGGTCCTTGAAGGCATGAGGAAAGGCCCAAATCCCTAAGAGTCAAGGCCCTGAAGGTGTCTTGGGGTGCAGGGACCAGAGGTAGACACTTTTCTAGATTTGGAACCTCCAGGCCAAAGGCAGAGGGGCAGTTTGCAAGCTTCTAGAGTATCTAAGATGGATTTGTTCTCTGACAAAAAGAGCGTTCCCTGGGGCTGGGGTGATAGCTCAGTGGTCTCAGCACCTGCCCTGTGCTGCTTGCCATGGGGTCCAGGCGCGCCTTGCCAGCCGTGGTGGCATATGCCTGTAACCCCAGTGCTGGGGAGGCTGGTACAGGAGGATCACTATGAGTCTGAGCTGCGTAGTGAGACCCTGTACGAAATTAAAAAAAAAAAAGAACCTTCCCTGGATGGATGGTATTAGTCACAGGGATGTACAAAGAGCCTCAAATTGGTATGCATTTCTTTTTCCCACTATGGTCTACTGTAGACTGGTAGGAGAAGGGGCAAGGTCCTCTACCACTTGGTCATTCAGGGGCACGGTTGCTTTTGCTCTGTGGCACTGTCACCCACCTTGTCCTCCTTTGCAATAATCAGGTAGAAAGGAAAGAGCATGCAAAGGGTAAGTGGATGTTTCTGGACCAGACCAAGGGGGCAGGGGAGGGACACAGCTTTCCAGTTCACAGCCCATTGGCTAGGACTTGATCATGTGACCTCACCTAACTGCAAGGCAAGCTGGAAAATGCAGTCCAGCCACCTGCCCAAGAGGACAATTGTGACCCAGGGTTTGGTGAACACAAAGCCATCACAGCCACAAATGCTGTCCTCTCGGGGTGGTGTCAAAGCACCCCAAGCACCCGTGTCAGGCACAACCACTGAACATGTGTGCCAAGGGGGGTTACCCGTGGTAGTCACCTTTAAGTCTGAATAGGCGTCTGAAGGCTATTTCCAGTCCTTTAGGAACTGTAATTGTATGTGTGTTCGGGTGCTGGTCTAAGAAAAGCATTCCCAGTTTTCGTAAAATTGTCAAAACTGCACTTTATTTTTTAATGCTTATTTATTTATTTTGCCGTACTGGGGATTGAACTTAGGACCTGGTGATTGCCAGGCAGGTGCTTATGCCGTTGAGCTTTCTCCCTGGCCCTATAATTGTCAAAACTAGAGCATAGTCACTTGCAGAGAGGCGACCCTGTCATTGACAGTGGATACACCCGTGGCCTAAGCAGCCCTGGGTCCCCGGGGCGTCAGGACTGGAGGCGAGCTTGGATGTGTAGATGGAGAGGCTAAGGCCCAGAGATGGGCTGTCTTGCCCAGGGTCACCCTGGGGCACAGGGGCACAATCGGGGCATGGCCAGGATTGGTGCTTAGTGTCCAGTGCCTCTGGTTTCTGTGATTGCAAATAACAAAGGGGAGCTCAGAGGAGGGCTGCAGCCGGGAAGGACCAGGCAGGGCCCAGCGAGGATGTGGCCAGAGCACAAGGGGCATGGTGGCCATCAGGACAAGGAACACACTCATGTGCTCAGTGAGGGAGGCTGGTGACCAAGCCAGGGCCACAGGCTCATCTCTTGGCAAGAAAGCACAGGAGCATCTGGACCACGGACAGGCTCCCAGCTGCACACTTGGGGGAGTTCCCCACGAGGCCATTGGGGAGCTCTTGCCAGAAAAGGGAGGCATGGGTGCTGGGTTGGCCAAAACAGCAGATGTCCACACCGGCCCCCTGCACTGGGTTGTGCAATCGCAACAAAACAACCCCAAGCTGGTTTCCTGTTAAGCTGTGGCCTAACCGGGGAATCCAGCCCTGCACACAGCGCCCTGCACACAGCCGGGAATCCAGGAGAGAGCACAGGCTCTTGGCAAGCCTGCTGTGCTGGCCTGGAACCCCAGCTCCGGCTCTGCAGCTCCCCTGGGAGGTTGGCAGGTCTCTGAAGGCAGCAAGGCAGGTACCTGGTGGCTCCATCCCAAGCAAGGTTTCCTTGTAGCCTGCACAAGCCCCTTCATGGGAATTTCACAGCAAGGGACATCACAGCTGGAGCAGGGGCCGGCCGAGAGCTAAGGGTGCAGGTGGGGACAGCATCCTACGGGGCGGCACCTGAGGGTAGGCTCAGCGAGGCCAGCTCGCCCAGGGGTTGGGGGAGGCTTTCATCTCACAGGGTTCAAGCTTGGGGGATCTAGAAACCACTGGCAAGAAGGGGTGTGGGGCCAATTTCCTGGGCCAGCTTGGCAAAGCCTTAGAGCCGGACTGAGGCTTTCCTGGCGCAGAAGAAAGCCCAGCATCGGGCGATTTCCAGGCTGCCCCTTCCGACTCCAGGCTCACTAGCCAGTCCCGAGACGGCACGTGCCCATCTGGCAACAAATGTGCAGTTCAAATATTTCAGGGGCTGTGCTGCTCCTGTTAAATCTGCATGGGGAGGGAGGTGGGGGACCCGGGGCCTCTCTGGGTTGGGGGGATCCACACCTTTGTGAACCATCCATCCCTAACTAGGTCAGATGCCTTCTGCCACGGCAGAAAGAAGGCTGCACCCCTCTTTGGCTGCACAGCCTTTGGGTGCAGCTCAGCGCTCTAGGCAGGTCTGGAGCAGTCCTGGACAAATGTCCTTGTCACCCCCTCCACCTTGTGCCTCATCCGTGCAGCTCTGGGCTGCTGTTCAATGTTCACTTTTTCTCCCAACCTTCAGAATTTCAGGGCCAGAGTGGTTCCTGTGGACAAAGGAGATCGAGGCCCAGGCTGCTCCTGTGTCCTGGAGCCAAGATGGTCCCTGGGTTGAGGTGTCCACGTGGCCATCAGGCCTGGG